TTTCAAATTTATAATTAACAATATGTAAATATATGAATATTATTTAAAACCATCACAACCTCAAGGCTTTTGATTTCTTCTACGATCACTACAAATACATATAGCCATAAATGAAATCCATGTACAGATATATTAATGTGAGATATAACACGTACAATTGTACTTACAAAACAAAAACAAATATGTGTATAGTTTTGCCTTGTCATATTTAGTTATAACGGTGAACCATCAAGCAAAAGGTAGTGTGATTTTATTTGCTCTGCACTATTCTTCTCACATGTGATAATTTCTTATTTTGAACCAAATACAATTCCATTCCACAAACAGCAAGAGCAGATGGGTGCTGAAGAAGCAAAACATGTTGTATGAAGTTACATTAGATGGCATGTACGGCATGAAATGTTTGATCACATCGAAAATAGTATGTTGGAGAAGCTAAGCAACCTCTAGTTGTGGTAATGACAAAAAAATAAATTATTAAAGACGTATTATAATGAATATGCAAAGATGACATATAGTGTCGTACGCTTATGAGGATTATTACAATTTGGCAGAGTATAGATTTGTGTCCTCTTAGGGAAGTATGACTACGGAAATAGTAGTACATGAACTATTTGTCATAGCTAGGTCTGAACATTAGGATTTCCACAGATTTTCTCGAAATGGATAGAACAGCATAAAACCCGAGGCATAGGGCATGAAGATTTAATTTACGTAGTTGACAAAATCAACCTATAAGATATAGGAGAAAGAAGCATAGTCCTTTCTGGAACAAAGTTCTTGTCAAGATTCTAAAGATTTCTTATATTGCATTAGATATGTATAATATACGTATATAATGAATGACACACGTATGCAGAGAACATGATTAATTAGTTGTTCCTAGTTCGATCAAACTTTCATTAAGAAAAGTATATATTAGGCCTAAAAGTTGCAGGTTTCCACCTGAAATATACATATAGAGAAATATTCTTTCATATATCTAAGATGAAGTTTTCACAAAAGCGGTACATTCCTCAGATTACAGCTAGTAGTTGGCAAAAAATTCAGTGGCTGCCATGGCCTTTCCCCATTTTGTCTGTTCTCCACAAAGGAAATAATATTTTCAAGTACTGTAGGTTTATCACTTCATTTTATCCCCAATAAAATGGCTGTAAAGCTCTAATGGTACAAAGACAAAACAGTGATTAGGCACATACTCCAATTCGGAAAATAATCAATAGCAGGGAATTGATGAGTTTCTGTTACAATGATCTGAATAAATTTCCAATAGTCACCTCATATTTTGTACCAACAACCCTGATCTCTGATGAAGCATCCCCTTGTAGCCGTAACCCCACAACAAAGTGTGCCTGACCCAAGTAAATCCATCCTTATATCCACATAGAATATGAAGTCGGTAACTCCACATGCCAAATAAAAAAGGTAAAGAATAGGATCCATGCACTTCTGATATATTCTTTTTATAGAGCTTAAAATTCATCTTGTAGCTGTCATGGTTTTGCCTAGCAACCTAATACATGAGAAAGGAAATGTTGTGGTGTAAACCCATAGTTTGACGATGTGATGAATGTACCTTTCATAAAAAAAGTGCAGTTAAAATGCAAAGACTATAGTAGAAAGTAAAGAAACAGTGGAAGAAGAAACAGTTCAGTTCTTTCTAATTGGTAAGAAATTGTGTAGCTAATCACTATGTTGAAATTCAAAGACAATCAAGAAAAGTTGGTCGGTTGAAAGCCATACAACATTCGCATTATCTCGTGATGTTCAGGACATAGTACACAGATTTATCCGCTGGAGGAAGCATTCTCAGCCGAAAAATAAATGCTATTTAGTGTGGTTACCAAGTTCTGTCATCAACGAAAGGCGAGGATGCCAATAGTAAGCACTCTATGATTTCTGTACAAATTATGTAATGGAAGCGTTTTTTTATGACTTCAGCAGAAGTACTATGATATTTCTACACATTATGCAATGGACGGGAAGCAATTTTCAACCAAAGAAGAAAACACATTGAATACCTTAGTGGATTATTAGATGCTATCGTATTTCTCTTCAATGTAGTAACAATTGAACTCCAGAAGTAATTCACTTGTGTGTAGGAAGTTGATCCTGCAAGGCATGAGATGTATTCAATATAAAGGAAAATTTTATCTGAGCATAAGGTACATTTGATACTTGGAAGTGGAACTACCCCTCTACAATATGCTACAAATAGGCATACTTCTAATTTCAGTCATTTACTGAACAACATTTTCAAATGCTCTGATTATGATCAACTTCAGTTATAAAGATCACATAATTTGAACTAACACTATGAAATTTAGAAATCATCTTAAGGGCTTGAACTTACTCGACGGCAAAAAATCTGTGCGCTGGCCCGTAACATATATATACATAGCAGCCAACTCTTGCAGATCGCTCCTCTCTAGTGAAGTACCTAAATAAAAAAATCTCAGCTAAAAAACAAACAGTAGAGACCTTTTGAAAATAGGAAGCAAACAAACCGAAGGATACTCTTTGGAAAATTTTAATGATTAGGACAACTGTTGCATATATCATACTGCACTAAATTATTAAGATAGGTAGAGTTCTACTTCATCTTCCTGGTGGAATGCGAACAACATAAAAACTTATGGTGAAATAACTCATTTGTAGATGAGAGGGTAGAGTTAGAAGAAAGACACAATTTGAAACTTAAAATTGTGTTATACTTCGACTGTCCAGGTGCAATTAGTATGCAGTTTAGTTGCAAACCGTACCTCATACAACTAAAGCGCCAGTGCTGGTTGAAAATATGAATGTCCTTAGTGAATACAAATGCAGTTTTGGAACACAGTACATGAAAGACTTAACAAATTCGTTAGGAAAAGTCTTCTATATGAATTCAACTATTGGCAACTTAACAATTCATCAAACACTTCCAACGCATTGTAAAATAGAAAGAAATAATTCAGATTCAGACTCGCGGAGGAAAGGCCATGCGAAGAGAAAAGACGTTGTTTGCTGGACAGAGTTCCATAACACCAGTTCGATCTCACCATTGTCGACCGATACGCCTAGGTCCGGCCACTTGCAGGACATATGTGTGCTGCTTGTCTCACAATGTAGCTCCTCATTGATCGGCACCGCCCCAACACCGCATCTGTTTGACTATTTCCTCTAAAGAATAAACGACCTCGCATTTAGAGAAAGAAGTAGTGACAATCTTAGAAGAAAGACACAATTTGAAACTTGAAATTGTGTTATACTTCGACTGTCCAGGTGCAATCAGTATGCAGTTTAGTTACAAACCGTACGTCATACAACTAAAGCGCTAGTGCTGGTTGAAAACATGAATGTCCTTAGTGAATACAAATGCAGTTTTGAAACACAGTACATGAAAGACTTAACAAATTCGTTAGTAAGACTCTTCTATATGAATTCAACTATTGGCAACTTAACAATTCATCAAACACTTCCAACACATTGTAAAATAGAAAGACATAATTCAGATTCAGACTGGCAGAGGAAAGGCCATGCGAAGAGAAAATACGTTGTTTGCTGGACAGAGTTCCATAACACCAGTTTGATCTCACCATTGTCGACCGATACGCATAGGTCCGGCCACTTGCAGGACATGTGTGTGCTGCGTGTCTCACACCATGTAGCTCCTCATTGATCAGCACCGCCCCAACACCGCATCTGTTTGACTATTTCCTCTAAAGAATAAACGACCTCGCATTTAGAGAAAGAAGTGGCGACAATCACGCGACGGAGAAGCAAAATAGGTCACGGTACATGAAGCTACCAGGCACTCTCACTAATCAATCACAAAATAGGCTGTGTACATGAAGCAATTGCATCCTAAAAAATTGGAAAAGTGATTACTCGAAGAAGAAAATTTGGAGAGGGGGTAGGTTATTTGCCTTTTCAACTAAGACGCCGGGAGCAACCGCAGCGACCCTTCCTTCTTCCTCTGGACTGAAAGCAGCCACCACCCGGAGACGGAGCGGCGGCACTTCCTTCCTCGTAGCAGGGAGCAGTCCAGATCTGGCCGCCGTCTTTGTCGCCGCCATGGATAGGCACGGTCCCAGGATTTCCATCCAAACACGCTTGGGCTGTTGGACCTCCAAAATATCAGAAGTTCTCAATAGATTGAACGTGGAGTTTGTTATGTGAGAATAAAATAGATTGGACGTGCGGGCCGTAAATTGAACATGTAGTTCTCCCTTGATTGAACGTGGAGAAGTTTTCCATAGATTTAACATGGAGTTTGTAAGAAAAAAAAGGTTGGATCTTGCGGGCCATAAATTGGACGTGGAGTTCTCCCTAGACGTGGGGAACTTTTTTATAGATTGAACGTGGAGTTTTTCTAAAAAAATAAAAGATTGGGCATGCAGGTCATAAATTGAACGTGGAGTTATCCTGAGATTGAACGTGGAGTTTGTCAAAAAAAAAGATTATACATGGAGTTTGTGTAAAAAAAAAGATTCTACATGGAGTTTGTTCCAAAAAAAATATTGAACCTGGAGTTAATCTACACCGTAATTATTAGGTCCCACCAGATTAACGGCTTGTAAAATCTAATTAACGTGGGAATTTTTAGGAAGTCTAGAATTAGTATAGGTATAGATAGATAGATATAGATAGATAGATAGATAGATAGATAGATAGATAGATAGAAGATGTTTTAAGCAAACACAGGTATAAAACAAAGAATACAACAACATAGGTGAATGCACAAACCCCTTGTTTCTGGGAGTAGCTCTTCAACGCAGCTTTGACCTTCCTGACATAGAAGTTTTGGTCAGCCTTAAAAAATTTCTGAATCTCTGAAATGAACATTTTTTGGTTTTCAGATAAGAACTCCGAGCTTGAGGCCAACTTTTCCAGTTGTTGAACCTGCTCATCTGACTTGGTAGGTGAAGATTTGGGTGACAAAGACATGGTGAGTCCCTCAAATCTGCAGTTCTTGACTGCATGGGTCAGCATTGTTGACAACTCAGTCGAATTCATGTTCAGGGCTGACAGGATGAATTTCTCCAGTGCTTTAGGGTGAGGGTGCCATGAATTAACAGCTGCTTCCCTAAAGGCATTGAGGTACACATCAGACATATGATGACCATGTTGCTCTGCTATGTCGATGGCTGACCAAACATCAGCATTGCTCTTGAGCAGGAACTTGATAGCATCATGCTCAGTCAGATGGTGGAAGAGGCGACGGAGGAAGGCGATAAGGCCATAGAGGGAGCAGCACTCTATTCGCATAAGGGCATTGGTGCATATCATGTCCACCTCAAAGTCAAGCGCATACTCATGCTGCGTGGAGATTACAGAGTCATACCAGATGGTGTTGAAAATGATGTTGGAAATGAACTCATGTGATTCGCTCCCGTTGGCGGATGGCTCTCGCGTGCGCTGGCTCTGGCGACGCCCTGGTCGTCTCAGCGGCGCCGCCGCTGCCACCCTCGCCCCTGGCCTCGCCCGCGGCCGGCCTGCCGGCGCCCCCCTCGCCCGATTCCCCGCCGTCTCCTCCGGCTGTTCCTCCGCGCGAGTCCTGGGCGGACCTTGCCGAAGCTGCCGATGTGGCTGCGGGCCGCCCCATCGCCTGCCGCGACCGCATCCCGCCCCGCGCTCCGGTCCGGCCGCCTCCATCCGTCACTGCCGGCGGCCGAACTCCCAGCGGCCTCCCGCGGGACCGATCGGCGCCACCGGCGGCCGTCGGGCGCGCTGCCGTCTCCTGGGTCGAAAGGGGACGCCTTGGGGTCTCGGGCCCCTCCCCGGCAGCGTCGTGCTGGCGGCTGGGACGTTGCCGGCCGCGCCGACCGCGGTGCTGCGCTCGACTCCTGGCGGTCCCCCGCGTTGGCGGCATCCGCCTCTGCTCCGGCCGGCCAGTCACCGGCGGCGGCGCTCGCGCTCTCGGGCATCCTTGTCTGGAGAGCCCCCTTTCGCCCGTTCATTTCCTCCTTCGGGGCTGCTCCCTCCCTGTCTCCGGCCGGCCGGCGTGCCGTGCCCTGGCCGCGCCGCCCTCGTCCTGCCCCGGCGGCGACCTCCGCGGCGGCGCCTGGGGAAACCCTCGTGCCCCGGTTGGTTGCCCCGGGCCGGTCGTTTCGGGCTGCGCTGCTGCTGGGCCTCCCTAGGGCCCAACCAGTCGGGCCTTCCCCCGGGCTGTCGGCTGCTGGACCCCTAGGTGGGATGCAGGCCGCCGACCGCTGCGTGGGCCGGCCGTCCAGCCAGGCCGCGCGTGGTGTGGCCCAGCAGCGCCCCCCGGCGCGGTCTGGCCCGTCCCGGCGCTCGATTTGGCCCCCTGTAGGGTTTCCTCGTGCCCCCCGTGCCTCGCCCCTCGCTCCCCATCCCGCCACCACGCAGGCCGCCTCCCTTGTCCCCTCTGGCCGCCACACCCCCTCGCCCCCCTCCCCCGCCGGCCATGCCCCGGGACTGGGGCGATGCCAAGCCCCGCCCGAAGCGGCGTGTGGATGACCGCCGGG